CCTTTACGGAAGTTTGGAGATCCTTGTCAATCAAATGCACCTTGGCATGTGGGAGCTGCAACATTGAGGGTGCAGTGCCCCACCCACCCCTTGTGTGAATGGGCAGCTTACTCTGCTTACTACTGGCAGCTTAGCACTTGTCCTCCATCAGTAGAAGTCAAAAGAAGAGGTAATGCGGCCCTTTTCCATCTCCTTCACTGCAGCCCCTCATCCCACAGTGCATTTTGTTAACACTCCTCTCCCCATGCTCTTTTTTGTATCCTGGTTGGCTTGTTTCATGATGTGAAAATTGGGGGGAGGGAGTGAATATTGAAGCCCCCCAAGTACCTTGTGTCATGTCAATCCAAAATCAGTGCTGATGTACTCCTCACCCTGTTCATGAGCATGGCAATGGTAATGTCATGGTTGCAATACCAAAGATCCAACATCTCCTCATATGCCAAAGTAGCCAAAAGAATTAGTGGCTCACATGGGTAAAGAACAGATGGTTCAAGAGTTCAGTTCTTCACTAATTGCCTTTAAATAACAAAGCAGAACAAAATGTTTCCACTTCACAATAAAATTCAGTATTCTGGTATTTAAATCACTTCTGTACTTAATGAGCTGTTACCTTGCTATTCTTCACTTTTTCAAATTTAGATCCATTGCTGATTTGGTTACATTAAAGTTGCATGGATAAATACGCTTAATTACGCAGCAATAAAACTCATTTCAATTAAGGGAACATATGATTTTTTTTTTAAATTAACCTTAAAATACTATATCACATGTGCTGTTCAACTGCATAAAATTGGACACATGAAACGGAACTTTATTTTGATTTACTTAGTAGAGGCAACGATTAGGACATATTGATGACATTGAAATTGTTCATATTGCAATTGTTCATATAGCTTTTTTTTATCATAGTACACAGTTTACAGAGGTTAGCAGTTTTTGTGTGCCTGTTGCTACCCTTGAGTAGTTTAGTATTTGATTAAAATTAAGTACTTGAATTTTTGTCGCTGCTTGCTTGCAAGTAAGTAAGTGCTTTTCCTAGGGTTGGGAGGAAAGGGCTGTCTTTTATGGATGACAGCAGCATTCAGTCTGCTTCAAGTTTGTGAGAATGCTATGTGTTGCTGCAACAAGGATCTGCAAGCAAAATATGAGCTTTGCTGGGGGGGGGCACTTGTTCCCACACACCATGTTTGTGCTTCTGACGCAGCTTGAGTTCTTTATTGTATCACTTAAAGTAGACCTTAAGAAATCCAGGCATTTGAGCTGTACCATTTCTTTATGGGAGGTGCAGACTTTCATGGTTGAATGCCTCTCCAACACACTAACTTCCTTCACACAGAACAAATAATCAAGTCTAGGATAGAACTTTGAACCCTTCTCATTGACCTGCTAGATTATGTGGATGAAACTGTGTGGAGAAGCACGAGGTGACCCCCTCCTGAAATCAAAAGTGGTGAGCCCAGATATGTGTAGCACCTCCATGAGAATTGGACCGAGTTCTCCTCTTAAATTTAGTGATACAAATTCTTGCTCAGTTTGCCACTAAGACCCCTGGTGATTCTATCACCCTTCTTTGCTGTTATATTTTTATACTACCACACAATTAAAATTTTTAATATCCATACAAATTCTTTGGTTGCTAAAAAACTATGGGCACTTTATTTACTTCATTTATACCCTACCATTCTTCCCATTGGGAACGCAAAGTGGCGTGTTATTCTTCTCCATATTATCCACACAGCAACCTGGTGAGATATTTTCGGCTGAGTGTGTAACTGGCCCTTGGTCATCCAGCAAGCTTCCAGTAAGGATTTGAGCCTGGGTCTCCCAGTTCAGCTAACACCCTGGTTTACAACATAACAATGAATGAGTTTTTAAAAAGAAACCTAAACAGATACTTGTTGTGACCTATAGCTATGTGGGTCATAGCTCATTTAATGAACTGTCTCTCTCTGTATGCCCCCGTGTGACAGTTATGGTTCTCCAGCTACCACCTGGAGAACTACAGCCAGTTCGGTGTGGTGGTTAAGTGCACAGACTCTAATCTGGGAGAACCAGGTTTGATTCCCACTCCTCCACTTGCACCTGGCTGGATGACCTTGGGCAAGCCGTAGTTCTGATAAGAGCTGTTCTTGAAAGGGCAGTTCTCAAAAGAGCTCTCTCAGCCCCGCCTACCTCACAGGGTGCCTGTTGTGGGGAGGGGAAGGGAAAGGAGTTTGTAAGCCGCTCTGAGACTCCGAGTGAAGGGCGGGGTATAAATCCAATCTCCTCTCCTCCTATCAGCTGTTCCCCCACTGCCATGCTCCAGAGCTCAGTCATAGCCTTCATTTATGGAGTGGACTTCCTGCTGTACACTGTTAGTTAGAAGGCTGGAGCTATTATAACCGGACTGGGTCTGAGAATTGGTTAGGCTCTAACTAGTATATGGTATATAGGTAGTATATAGGCAGAGCTACTTGGTGAGCACCCTGTGGCATGTAATAATTAATGGAGCTTTCCCAAAGCAGACTTTCACAGGCGCATTCAGTAGGCTGAGAGCAAATTTTGTAGTGCTGTGCAGCATCAGCCTTCCTTAGTTTCTTAAATAGCAATTTTTGCTGGGTGGAAGTACCCAAATGCTGGTAGGCGGAGTAGGCTTTCTGGTAAGTGTAAGTTGTACTAACAGTGAAGATAATTTTATGATGCAGGTAAGCCTTAAGTAAACTTAGTTCCATTCATATGTTCTATGTTCTGCATCTTCACTCTGAGATGGGGACAGTGAAAATGGGGACAGGGATTCTAGTGCTGTACCAAAATCTACTACTTAGAAGTCTCTCTTAAAACAAGTATAAAACTACTTAGAATAGGTATGAAGCAACTAGTACAAAAATGAAGACACTAGCCATAATAGACTTCCTATTTCAGTAGTCATAATTTGCAATATATCTGAGCTTAGTGTGTGCTGGCTGATGCCCTAGAAACATGCTGACTTCTCGGGTCTTGGAAGGTAAGCTTCAGAATAAATCAGAAGTTCTGCCAGGTTTCCATGATCCTTGAAATGAGAGCATACAAATAACATATGTGATCTAGTCTTGCAGAACTGGAGTTGCAACAGTCTATAAACTGCAGATTACAGTAGTAAATATGTGGTTTTACATAGCAAACAGAAGTAAAACAGATAAGCAGGGGTTCAAAAACCCAGGTACCCAATGCCTCCGAGCACCTAAACAGTTGGTCCATGGTACCTGGAAGCAGGTTATAACATATGTGGTGGTATGTGCAAGATTTGGCCACTGCCACTTCTTCCTGATTTCTAATTTAAACTCACAGCTACCTGGTAAAAGTAGGGTGGGGGAGAAGAAAGATACAAACACATAGGTTGGGGAGCTTGGATGGTTTGCAAATCGTCTTGTAACCTTGCTAATAAAGAGTGTACTACAAAAATAGAGTTGTGTTCAGTTGTTGACTTGAGGGCCTGTAATTTGAAAAATTCCACTGTGCAAAATGAATTGAATGATGGATCTTGCTTGGTTGACTGTCTGACTTTGAGCCTGTCATACAAAAGGTGGTGGCACAACGATCCATTCTAAGTCCTAAAACTCTTTTTTTCTCTTTTTCCAGACGATGTGCTCTGCAGTTATTCAGATTTATGCAGCAGATCGCAATGCAGTGTGGTCAAAGAAGTGCTGTGGTGTAGCCTGCCTTGTGAAAGACAATCCACAAAGGTCTTATTTTATCAGAATATATGATATCAAGGTAAGGATCTCTGCTATAGAACCACATAAATAGAAGGATCTGTTTTGTGGAAGGACTCAAGTATATCAAATGGTAGGAAGCAAAAAATGGTAGAACTATTTCTGCATTTAAGAAGTTGTTAAACGCTGTAGGAACAAAACTGAATGTGTTGCATTTTTGCTTGGTGCATATTATCCTCTTTAAAAACATAACTTATGGATGCAAAGAGAGAGAACAGCATCTCCACTTCCTGGCTTTTATGGCAGAAGTTATTACTGCTGAACAAACAAGCTGCTGTGTAGATTAAATGTCTTATTTCTTAGGCAATAAGAACAGCCACACTGAAGACAGGAAGTAAAGCTTCAGTTTTGAGAGCAGTTATGTGTGTTTCTTCCCCTATGGACACCCATTGTTGGATTGTAGCTATGCTCTTGTTTACAAATATGAGGCAGGCTGTGCTATCAGAGAGGGGACTACTTTATGAACTATTAGTATTTGGATGGGAGGAATATATGCAGAACTTGTGCTGTTATCGAGTGTAGGACACTTCCAAAGTCATTTTATAACAGCTGTGTAATGCAAGTACCGGGGAACAATGCAGGTCTGTGTCCTCAAGATAATGCCGCTCTTTTGATTTCCAAAGGGAGAGTGCTGACTAGGAATCTAGGAAACTGAGGTGGATGGGAAACTTAAAAGTTTTTGCTGATTTGTGGTTCCTTCCTTATGGTCTCAGTGTCTATATTTCTTTTTCTTTCAGGATGGAAAACAGTTATGGGAACAAGAATTGTATAATAATTTTGTATATAATAGTCCTAGAGCATATTTTCATACCTTTGCTGGAGATGTAAGTGCTCTGTATGTCTTCCATACTTAATTTCTTTTTAAAAACTTGGGCTTTCCCCTGAACCTGGCCATAAAGTATCAAGTAACGTATTTAATCTGAGATGTTTATATTTATGCTATCAGAGGTTGTGCACTGTGCTCACATGTGCAAGAACTTCTCATTTTTTGTTGCACGGATGAAATAACAAAAGGTCTTGAATAGTTTCAGATATTTTTCTTGATAGTTCATGTTTGAAAACTTATTGAAAACTCAGCCATGAAGTCTGCTCTCTGTCAGTGGGATCCAGGTACTGCCCAGAGCCACTCTATATGTTATGTTTGGCCTCAAGTTCCAGCTGTTCCCCAAGTGCTGCAGAGCCTGACTTGGATCAGGACCACTGCACTGACAGAAGAGAAGCATCACTCCCTTATGCCTTTTTCCTGAGCCAAAGCTGCACGGGGGCAGGCACTTTTTATCCATTGTGGAGCTGTACGTGCAAAAAGCACCCCCCCGGTCCATGTTAGTAGGGAAAACAGCATAGGGAGGCACTGAGGTCCTGGTCTAAGTTTTGCCCTGCAGTGCTTGGACGCCTATGGGTATGGGAAAAGTTAGTTACATGGCTCTGGGGAAAATCAGCCAGCTCTGGAAAACCCTGACTCAGCTTAAGGCAAAACGAATTGTGCAGACGGGCTCACACTTGGCTGAGATTACACAGAATGTGCATATTTATTTACAGTTCGCTAGAAAAATTAATAGTCTCTGGGAAATGATTGTTTTTCAGACATGTCAGGTGGGTCTTAATTTTGCTAATGAAGAAGAAGCTAAAAAATTCCAGAAGACAATAACAGACTTACTTGGACGGCGCCAACGAAAATCTGGTAAATGTACAGTTTTTGTAATTTACTTCCTTTGTAAGTAATGTGAAACAATGTCCAGAAACAAACATCTGGGACTTAAATTATCACTCAAACTTAATTTTAAATGTACTTATTTGAAGCTGAAAATTGGAGGCAGAAAAGATTAACTTCTAAATATTAAAAACTATGTGTGTCTAAAAGTTGTAAGTCAGGCATTTCTACCACTTAGTTCTTCTGAAATAACTGGCTATTAATCTAATACAGATGGATTGCCATGGAACTTCTCAATGTATTCACAACATGATGTACTCAGGAAATAACCCAGAGATGGACACTGTAGGGAATTCCTCATTCACAAATCTGTGAAAATTAGACCCTTAATATTTAGTAATTACAATTAATGTCAATAGAATTTCATTTGAATAGGATTCAGCTGTATACAGTTGGTGAGAATCCTCATAAGTATCAAGTGTCCCGATGGCGGGACTCCCACTGCCCCCCCATCAGCCACCAAACCGCTGCCTGAGAGGGCCCCCCCCCCCACGGCTGGCCCCGCACCCACTTGGAGGCCTGGGAGCTCAGGTTGGAGGCAACAAGGGGGGTGGCCAATGACCTGATGGGAGAGGAGGCACTGAACCCCAGCAGTCCGCACAACCCCAAAACTGCCAGCTGCTAGACGGAGGAAGGGAGGACCCCACGATGAGTGGAGACAGCTGCACCGGGCCTGTGGCCCAGCGCGAGGGCCCACCCGCGCTTCCGAGCCTGGTGTCCCAGGCCTGGCCACAAGCCAGATCGGCACTCTGCAGGGGAGGGAATGTCCGGAGTGGAGGCCCCACCCCACAGGAAGGCTTGGTGTCTCCCATTAAGTGCAGGGGTGGGGCAACAAGGGAAAGGGGTGGGAGCGGGCTCAGGGGAAGTAGCAAAGAGCGGGGAAGGGGATAAAAGAGAGCAGCTCGAACAGGTTGAGGAGGACTGCCCTGAGGTACATGGAGCCACGCCCAGAGAGAAGGAGAAGGCTAGTGGCCCAGGAGGAGCGGGATGGCAGGGTGTAGTGGTGTAACCCCCCTCCCCCGCTCAGAAGACTGAGACCTCAGCTGCTTCAGAGGGACGAGGGCTATCAAGGTGGCCGGGCTTCCCCAAAGCCCCAACTCCTGTGACAGTGGGAGGGGGGGGTTTCAGCAGAATCATGTGACATCAAGTGACGTGGCATGCACTGTTATACTTGAGTTCAGGCTTCATTGGTAAAAGATAGCTTTGTTCCGGTTGTGCCTACATGCCCAAATTCAAATAAGTGACTGGATTTGTATTTATATGTGCAAAATAAAACAGGTTAAATATGTGAATTACATACTGCGTTTTGCTTTTGTTTTGGGGATATTTATACATGTGCTTTTCAACATGAGCAGCAACCACAAGTTTTTCCCCTATAAAGACATAGCTAAAAGTATGACAGTAATTTGAGGGGCGGAAAGGGTGGTAAGTGGTATGAAAAACATTTAGTCAGGTTTTTTCACTAAAATAAAGTGGAGAAGCTTGTTGTTACTCCAGGTTTTAATATTGATGTTATGTCTGCTGCTTATTCCTTTTGGTCAGAATATTTATAAAGTTTATTTTAAGTGTGGGAGACGTTATTTTGTAAGTGTTCTTGCATGTGGCTAAGGGTGTGCATGCAGGTATTTATTCAGCCGAAATAGCCACGCCTGAATAAAAGCTGATATTATTCAGCATTTATTTGGGCAAGGCTAGAATGAATTCACTCGCTGAGTGGCACGACTCAGCAAGTGAACTCAGAAGGGATTTAAAGTTTAAATACTTGCAGAGTTCACTTGCCAAGTCGTGCCATCACGGTGGCACCACTCGTAGAGTGAATTAGGCAACCATTTAATCTTTAAATCCCTTCTCTATTATGGGGATAGCCCATAATAAATTTATGTTTAAATTTTTGTCCTTACAGAAAATGTCTCCTTTTTCCCTCTAAACTTTCCATAATGGATGTAACTTGGATACTTCCTTTCAATCAGTAATATGTTACGAGAAATGAACCCCCAAGAATTCATGGGGAAGGTGAATTTTGTTCCCTCTGCGCTTTCTCTCCAATTCATCACCACCACCACCATATCTTAATGGAGGTAGCTGCTGCCTCAATGTCAACTTCCATTTTAGTTTGCTATAGCAACCCAGTATGTCTCCTGAAGTCCAGTACTTTTTTTTTGTTTTAGATGTTTGGACATTCTGAGGGTTCTGACTTGCAAGTTACTGGTTTGGTTTAGTTTTTCAGTGAATACATTCTTGTACAGAAACTCTCTTGTTCAACCACCAGATGGAGTTCTAATTCTGTACTGTAGTCTTGGAAGCCATTCTTGCCATAGAATTTGCAGTTAAGTAATATAGTTGTAGATTTACTGGTTCATGGCACTTATTTCAAACTTCAAAATAGGAGAAATCCGGTATCACTTGACTCAGAGATCTTTGGTTAATAAAATTAATAAATATACAGTTGCCAGATTGAAATGAAAGTTGTAGTTATTTGCTGTACAGCATAGATTTATACAAAGTCATCCTGTATTGTAACCACACACACCAATATTTGCATATTTGAAAATGCATATTCCACAATTCTTTTTTAGCATTATTACTTTTTATGTTAGTACTGTTTATCTTAAATCTGAAATTTGAATATTTACAAGTTAGGGAATACAACATATTTTTACTTTCCTTGCAAAAATATACACACTACCTTCCCTTCTTTATTTTGAAGCAGATGTATATTTTAATTATAAAAATACCCAAGTGCTGGATGATGCTGACTCTAGAAGTATTATTCTAAAACCTAGCAGCTAGAAATTATTTCTGCCTGTCTGCTGCTTTTATTTCTTTTTTTGGTCTAGAATGGAATAAGTTCAGTGGGTTGGATCCTGTTATCTGTGAACAAAAGGTGCTCATGGAAGCATCTTCCTGACTTTGCTCTTCTGCAAACTGTGGCTCACTCTGTGTGTGTGTGTGTGTGTGTGTGTAATAAGGAAAAAATCATAAGGAAATAAGGAAAAAATCACCTCCTTCAGGTAAAAAAAACAAGCAGAGGAGCCCTATTCCCAATTTGTCCTACTATACGGGGGGGGGGGGGGCTAGTGGGAAAAATGGGGTTTTCCCTATTACAGTTTCATCTTTGCAACCTCTTTCCCCCTTTCCCTCCCCCACCCCACTGAAGACAGTCTCAGTCCTCATCACAGGCTTTTCAGGGCAGCAGGAGAGCTGCTGAGGGCAAGAACAGTGATCATAAGATGTTTGCGTAAAAGCAGGAGTCATCCCTGTGTGTGCAAGACAGCTTCTTGAAATACTAAGAGCATGTTTAAGTTGGGGAGTGGGAGGACTGATTAGCAAAGTGTCTTGGATCTCTGGCCTTTATGAAACCAAGTATGACTTTCAAGAAATCGTCCTTAACAGTAAATTTGTTCGTGGTCTAGCACACTGAGTTGCACTTTGCATTGAGAGCCTGGGTCTCTACGCTTGTGTCCTACTTGAGCAATCGCAGTCCTGCTGGGAGATTACTTGGAAGATTTGAGCTCACCCATTAAGGATGTTTGCTGTTAATTTTATTTTTAAAAGGCTAACTATTTTAGCAGTTTGAAATGTGACCTACATTTGCCTAGTAATAATAGATCTCTGAAGAAAAACTAAAAAATGTTTTTACACTCAGCTTCATGCCTGAATGAACTGAACTATCTTTTTTCCTCTTTAACAGAGAAAAGGAGAGATCTACCAAATGGTAAGATTTTCCTTGTGTTAAATCATCTACTGCCTTTCTCTTCAAACATTTTTCGCTTAATTCCTTAGCTTCTCATTCCCAAAGAACCGCAGTGTCTATGACCTGACTTGTGCTTCAGTCTGTAAGTGAATGCTTATTAGCTGTAGCGCTCCACTCAGTTAAGAACTGTACTATAAAACGATCTTAAGAAAAGCACAGACAGGGCCATTAGAGCAGTTCTGAAAAATGAACAAAAGTCAACATTGCTGAGCAAATGTCAGGATCCTGGAGACATACTGCTTGCTCTAGCATATGCTGATGTTACAAAGGTTTTCAAAGCTGATTTATCTGTCACTTGACAACTTACTGACATCAGGCGATCTGCAGAATCTGTGCACATCTTTCAGCTACTATTAGGTTTTTTTACCCTTGTATTTTTTAATATCTTGAATGTTGCATGGTGCCTTTGAAATGAAAACACCCTTTTGTTAGAAGTCTGTCTTAATGTTGCATCGTAAAAAATGGTAGAATTAAACAAATTGGCATTAAGGGTTATATAAAATGCATTAGCCTGTAATTTCCTGGGATTTGTGTCTTTATTCTTGTTGGTAATGGAAAAGTCTCCCTAGAGTGAATCAGTTAGCAGTGGTTTTGCTGACCTTTCATCATAACGGTTGGGATGAAAATGGGGATTTATCAGAATTAGTTAAAAAAAAATCTTGCCCAGAATGATGTGGACTACTTGCACTTTAATTCGGAAGCTAGAATCTGGTTTAATCTGCAGCCGGCTCTCCAGCAGAAAGGCAGCACTTGAGAAATATACAGAAGTTACACAAATAGTGCAATGTTTTGCACTACATTTTCTGGAAAGTCTTCTGAAGACATACCAGATATCAACATCAGTGGATGCTTAAGGCCACTGTATTGCCAAGTTCTTCCTAATGATGACCTTTATAGGCCCTTTTCATCTTCACTCATTGAGCTGTCGACAGCTGATGGGGAAGGTGCCTGTGTTATGATGGGGAAAATTTTGCTGGATATAAATATGGCAGTGTTGGAAGAAAATGGAAGTTCTTCAGATGATACACATCTACAGATAAATAGTAAGTATGGTTTTTCACAGGCTGTGATAAGCACAGCTGCTCTTGGGGTATTAAAATGGGTTGGGAATAAGGATTTGAGGGAAGTCTAGACAACAGATATCACCAGATCTAAATTATTAAACTTTCGATGAGAAAAGTGTCAATTTTGACATATTAAACATTTGTGAGTTACATATTAAAGAGCATTTTCTTGAATTTAGAGCACTGGGGAGTTACCATTAGTGTACTTTGCCATTTCATTAATCAGTATTTCTATCAAACTGAAGAAATGTAGACTACATTTTCTGCTGCAAACATCAGTTAACATTCAAAATCCAGACTTGACAATCTACATGAGTTATGGGAAAATGTTCCTTGATAAGAAAACATTATAATACCATATTCAGTGACTGACCATCTGCTTGCTGAAACAAGTTTCTGCAGGCCAGTTGTCCCCTACCACCCCCAGAAGTGTGCAAAGAGAAAGCGAGCATAACAGGGTCTTTTTTCTTGAAACACGATTAAACTAACAAAGGGAAAATACTTCAAAATACTTAAATGGGTGTGAAAGGCCAGTTGACAAAGTTACAAAAATAATTAGTAAAAACTGGCCTTGCATCTAAGAAATAATATTGTTACAATATTCTTAGAGGCAAAATCTAAAGTCCTGAGACACTAATCTGGAACTGATGTGCTGCTGTGTAACTTTTTAGAGACCCTCTTTCTTTCTACTTATTCCTACTTTTCTTTCATCATGGGGGCCAAGGTGGTAGATGGAGGTCTCCTATCTAGACATTGATTAGACCTGCTTGGCTTCACCAAATTTGTTGGATCGCGTGACTTCTAATTATGTGCTCATCCCATTGTTGCATGGGAAAACACACAAAATGCATTTGTATTGTTGCAGGTCCAAGTCTACCAATGGCAACTGTTGACATCAAAAACCCAGAAATCACCACCAATAGATTTTATGGTTCCCAAGTCAATAATATCCCCTATACCAAAGAGAAGAAAAAAGGAAAAGCAAAAAAGAAGAGACTGACAAAGGCAGATATTGGGACTCCTAGCAACTTTCAGTAAGAATGTCTACTCTGTGTCCAAAATATGCATTGTAGAAACAAACTGTTTAGCAATAAGTGGGTTCTAAAGGCTTGGCTTAATCATACTGAATAACATGCAGTCATTTTTCCATAGGTACAGGTTTCCAGTGTTTGCTTTTATCACCTGTGCACTGCTGTGCACTGAGCGGATGAAAATGAAAACTTGGAACTTCTGTCTACATATGTGTCTTAGGGCTTCTTTATCAGTTCTCATGGTTTTCATTGGCTGGATGCCATCGAGAAAAGCAGGTTTTCCATCCAGAAAGGAATTTTCTTCCCTGCGGTGGTCAGAATGCAAACTGCGAAGTCTTTTAAGATGCAGCTAGGCAAATGTTACGAAATGAACAGCTCAGTGTCTACTCTAGGATTTCAGCAGTGTCATCTTATTACATAATGATGTGGAATGATTATTTTGGGGGAGGGGAGAGGAGATCAGGGTGCTCAGCACTACCAAAATAGGCTGTGAAGAAATTATTGAAATCTGTTAAACTGTTCAGTGATGATGCACACAAGAGGCATGCAGCCCAATCCAAGCCCACAGCATTTCAGCATCAGAGCCAACTGAACTTTTAGTATAATAAGTGTTCAGTACCCTTTCTGCCTTTGCTAGGTAGTAGTTGCTTTTGATGATGATGATGATAAATGTATGTTTACTTTAGTAGCTAAACTTTATTTAGGCAAGCATATTCAAAAGCAACTCTTCTAATTTGCTTTGTGAAGGTAGAACTTTGTATTATGGTGCCCTGTGTATGAGTAGAGTGCCTTTCTCCTGTGACAGATAATTTTCAGTACTCAGAGGTTTAACTGAGTTGGACGGCAAAACAAGGCCACTTTCAAGGAAAAGAAATGAAGTCATGGAAACAAAGTACCAGATTTAATGAAGCACCAGAATGTGACCACTTAAGCACAACATATTTGTATTGAAAGAGCAATACCTCGTGTATTGAAAGAACAAATTAATACCTGCGTTGGCTCATTTGTAGTGTGTTTCATGTAGAAAACTAGGGATGTGCACACACAAAAAAATCTGTATTTTTGGGGTTTGGGTATACTGAACCCAAAAAATATTGGTATTTCCCAATATTCCCAGATCCCAATATCAGTATGGTATTGGGATTCAGGAAACCCGATATATATATATTTGCTCTATTATACTTTATGGGGACCATTATAGTCAATGGTCCCCATAGACTATAATGGAGAATTGATCTGGGGTTCTGGGGGTGCTGTTTTTTGGGTTAGAGGCACCAGATTTGCAGCATAACTGCTGGTGCCTCTCCTCAACCCCCCAAGTTTCAAAAAGATTGGACCAGGGGGTCCAGTTCTATGGCACCTAGAAGAAGTTTCCAATGGAGGGGAAAAGGCATTTAAAGGGATGCAATCCCTTTAAATGGCTTCTCTCCATGCCGTGGCTTAGAAAAGGCATGCCCTGTAACTGTGGTTATCCAGCAACCCCGAAAAATCTCGAATATTTTTTGGGCAGCCATTTTTAGTTAGCCAAATCCCTAGCTCCCTTAGTGATCGGCTGAGAAAATATCCAGTAAATACCGATAAGGTACTGCCTTAAAGTGGTTTCTCTCCTTTCTCCGAGGTAAGGGACAGAGGGTGGCACTACAGGAGAGTTTTAACACAACACCCACTGGCGTGTCATGTTCCTCAAGGTGCTATTTTCTCCCCAGTGGTATTCAATATATATATGTGCCCCCTCACCCAGCTGGTGCGGAGTTTTAGGCTGGGTTTTCACCAGTACCCTGATGACAACCAGCTACATCTGTTGATTGATGGCCACTCGGGTGCCGCCTCAGAAAATCTGGCAAGGGGATTGGATGTTGTGGCTTGATGGCTGAAACAGTGCAGGCTTAAGCTAAACCCATCGAAGACTGAGATCCTGTAGCTGGGAAAGGGAGACGTGGGACAGGATATCCAGCTCCTGATCTTGGACAACGCCCCTCTAACACCAGTTCCAACAGTGAAGAGCCTGGGCATGACTCTGAATGCCTCCCTGTCTATGGAGGCCCAGATCACAAATGGGCCAAGTTGGCCTTTTATTTATGCTAGGTTCGGCAGCTGGCTTCCTTCCTATCTCACCCGGACCTAGCCACTGTAATCCACGCAATGGTCACCTCCAGACTGGATTATTGCAACTTGCTCTATGTTGGGCTACCCTTGAGACTGACCCGGAAACTTCAATTGGTCCAGAATGCAGTGGTGAGGGTCCTAACTGGAACCCCTATTAGCACATATCCAGCCAGTGCTCTGCCAGCTGCACTGGCTCCAGATTGAATTCCAGATCAAGTTCAAGGAATTGGTTTTAAACTTTAAAGCCATTCACAGTCTGGGACCAACATACCTTCAGGACCGCCTCTCCCGGCATATCCCTCAGAGAACATTACAGTCCTTAGGCAACAACACGCTGACAGTCCCAGGGCCAAAGACCAATTGCCTGGCCAGTGTGGTGTAGTGGTTAAGAGCGCAGACTCTAATCTGGGAGAACCAGGTTTGATTCCCCACTCCTCCACATGCAGCTGCTGGTGTGACCTTGGGTCAGTTACAAGTTCTTTCAGAGCTGTTCTCTCAAGGGCAGTTCTCAAGAGAACTCTCTCAGCCCCACCTACCTCACAGGGTGTCTGTTGTGGGGAGGGGAAGGGAAAGGAGATTGTAAACTACTCTGAGACTCCTTTGGGTAATGAAGGGAGGGGTATAAATCCAATCTCTTCTTCTTCAACTTGAGCTAGAGCCTTCTCTTTGATAGCTCCTGCTCTATGGGATGTGTTCCCGAGTGAGACCTGGGCCCTGCGGGACTTAGCTTAATTCCACAGAGCCTGTAAAATAGAACTATATTGCCAGGCATATGGGTGAGACCAGGGAGTTTTATTTATATACTGCCTTTGTTTTTTCCCTCCACTCTCTCCCTGGGACAGTGGAGCAGTAGAATAGTTTTTTACACCATCTGGTTAATTGAATCTGTTGAGCATGTTTTGTTTTCATTGTTAAGTTGTTTGTGTTTGTCTATTTATTTTGTAATCTGCTCTGAGATCCACGATCATGGGGGAAGAGTGGAATAGAAATTGAACAAATATATAAGTAAATATTTTTTCTGGCTTGGTTTGTACCGAGCACGCACCCCTATAGAAAACTAAATAATTTTCGAATGACTTTGATAATATCAGTATGGTTAAACATGGCTGACTGTTTTTGAAAGTAATAACCACAGTGGCAACTACATAGGTGTTGTCTATCTGTAAAGGAGAGGGGTCAGCATGAGAGCGGCACATGAACCCAGGGATGACAGTTACAGTTTTTTGTAAAGTGCCACAACCCAGACTTTTCATTGAAAGTTGTACATAATAGATAACAACTTTCTAATGTGGTCTTATTAACTACTGTCTTATAAACCTTATTACAGTCTGTAAGTGGTGACGTGAGTAGGAAAATGTGTCAGCTAGCTGCCATCTTATGTTGCTTCTGTCCTTCCGTTCCCGCTTGCTCGCAGCTCAGCAGCTTTGCGTAAACATTGCCTCGGAGACCGTGGGAGCTGGCTCGGCTAGACGGCGTTATCAGTCTGGCCTTGTAAGGATGGGAGGGCTTTTGCGGTCCACCACTGGTGTGAATCTTTCTGCTCTCAGGGGCCCTGCAAGTCTCCCGCTCATTATGTAACTTCCCGCCGGGAGAATTCCCCTGCGCGTGCTCGAAGTTCATTTGCTTAGCTATTTGCCTCGTCTGGCTATATGTACGGATGTTCCCACCCTATAGTTATTCGGAGGGCTCTTTTTGTAGCAGGAACTCCTTTGCATATTAGGCGACACACCCCTATGTAGCCAATCCTCCAAGAGCTTACAGAGCTCTTCTTACAGGGGCTACTGTAAGCTCTTGGAGGATTGGCTACATGAGGGGTGTGTCACCTAATATGCAAATGAGTTCCTGCTACAAAAAGAGCCCTGAAATTTGTCCGTTCCTAACAATAATCCTGTGGATATGGTACTGGGTTTTGTACTCTAATAAAGCGTAACGCTTCTCAGGAAACGTGTGTGAAGAGTTACTTGCTGTGGAACCTGACAAAATGTCTAAGCAGGGACACTTTCAGAGAGTGGCCGTGTTGGTCTGCAGTAGAACAGCTAGATTTGAGTCCAGGAGCATCTTAGAAACCAGCAAGATTTTCGGGGTGTGAGCTTTCAAGAGTCAAAGCTTCCTTCTTCGGATAAGTAAGGCTAGTGGTTTTCATTTTAGCTTTACTGTTGCCATGAAGTAAACATTACATTGTCTTTATTTATATGTCTTATTCATGATAGGTAACTTAAGAACGTGTGAGCTTGCCATTTGTTCCTAAGGACTCTAGCATTGCCTGGAAGCTTAGCGGTGATTCCTTGAAGAGCAGTCAATAATGGCAGAAGGTTCCTTGAAAAGCTATTTGTCTGCCATTATTGTACACTGCAGGGGAGCTCTGAACACATACTTCACTCGCACAAGATCACAGTAGAGTCTGGCTGGTGTCCTGAGTGTTCATGCTAGAATGTACCACAGAATCTCTAGCATCATTCAAAGCTTTGATGGTGGGTGTATAGGAGTCCTTGGGCAGACAGATCAATGTAGAAAGGTTTCCCTGTGTGTGGGAAACTTGAAAATCACTGTTATATTGGCACTAAAATCTCAAATGCATTCAGTGACAACTATGATTTCTAATGGAGCTCAGAATTAATTTGCGCGAGAGACTTTGTAGGAACTGTATCACCGAGCACAAAGATTAAATCAAATAAATGGTTCATGCTGTGTCTGGCATATAGCAAAATTGCAGCTTGTGCAGAAGCTGAGCTTCTTATTCACAGAGGCTGTTTCCATGGTTATCAGACTTTTGGGAACGAAATATGGGTTTCACCAGTACAGAATGGCCTCTTGAAGCCTTCGGGGAGTCTGCTTTCAAAAATGTTAAACTCCCTTAGTTATTGTTGATGTTTCTAGGATACAGTACTAACGGTAATCTTTTGATGCTGTCCAAATGGCATGTGCAAAATCTTACAGAATGTCTCATGCACTGAGGCCATCTTTTGCTTATCCTCACCTAACCAATTTTCTTCTATCAGGTGAACAATTCCAACTTGCCATTTAATTGTTCTGAAGACTACATATTCTAATATAGTTACCGTATTTTCCTGCGTATAAGACTACTTTTTAACCCAGGGAAATCGTCTCAGAAGTGGGGGGTCGTCTTATACGCCGGTACGCCAGAAGCATCAGCACAGCTCTATATTTTAACTGGAAAACTCTATATTTTAACTGGAAAAGTTGGGGGTCGTCTTATACGCCCAGTCGTCTTATACGCCGGAAAATACGGTATTTTAACCTCATAATTGTGTGTACTAGACCTTCTGATTTTTGTTTTGCTTTCTTCTAGGCATATTGGGCATGTGGGCTGGGACCCAAATACAGGTTTTGATGTAAGTGTGATGGCAAGCCTCGCAGAACTTCGCATTGTAGTATGTGAGACTGTATGTGTTTTGCTTCACACAAGTTATGTGAATGTGTAGTCATTGCGTCTGTGGAACAGGTGGAATGGGCATTTGTAATTCATACATTTTATTTAATTTATTTGTAACCTGTGTATCTCCCCAGTGGGGACCTAAAGGGGCACATGATAGAAATAGAAGGGGGGGGGGAAATTGGAGAGGAGGCTCATGAGTGATCTTCCTGCCAGCTCCAGGATGCAGCCCTTTGGCTCTTGCCCTTCAACTTACGTCCAAGGGATAGAACTTGTGGGCATGCCCGGGCCTTAAAATACCAGTGAAACAGGAGAACAAAGTCAGCTAGATATTAGGCAGCTGGGGCTAGCCAAGTAGCAGGCTCTTCTGCATTTCTTTCCCTTCCATTTTGGTTCATACAAGCTTTAAAGCTGCACCACAACCCTGCTTTAAGCTTCATATACAAAAATAGAACTCTCACTGGAAATGAAGTACATCTGGCTATTTGTTACATTACTGTGAATCACATGGGCTTGGGTCTTGTTCCGCTCTAGCAGAGCACCCCTGCATAAATGTCAATCTTCTTGTCTCCCCTGTCCTGCTGCAGTGTTTTGTGACCTCAAAACTGTATCCCAGGAGGTCACTGGACATCAAAAGGAGGTCACAGTGGAGGGCTACAGGGCAAGTAGACAAAAATTGTCCTCCTCCCTCTTCCCTTGAAGTACTTAGTGCAAGTAAAAAGCTTAGTGCAAGCTATGGATTTGTCTGGCAAAATAACAGTTGGAGAAACCCTTTTCCTTCAAATACTGGTCTGTGGCATAAGCTTATCTCTAACTGCACATAACTCTGTTCCCCTTAGGTTAACAACTTGGATCCAGAGCTGAAAAAACTGTTTGATATGTGTGGAATTTCAGAGGCTCAGCTGAAAGACAAAGAAACGTCCAAGGTTATATATGATTTTATTGAAAAAACAGGAGGAGTAGAAGCTGTTAAAAATGAGTTACGTAGACAAGGTGAGTCCTCGTTTCTTCACGCAGCTCACTTACTATCCTTTGTTTCAAAATATTGAAACAGTTTTCGGCAAGCTCAAACACCATTGGCAGGCTCTCCCAACTACAAATGGCATCCTATTAGCAAGCATGTTAGACCACATAACTCCTCCCCTCCCCCGAATTCTACATTTCTAGACACACTTGGGTGCAAACTGTCCTGAATTCAAGTTAAGCTTCCTTCAGCTTTGATTTATAGAAGCAAGCATATTTATGTATCCAACCTGATACGCCTCTGTTTGGCTTAGAAAGTGGCATGTCTCACTTCAGCAGTAGGAACTGCTGAGCCAAAAACGAGGAACACAGCTCCAACTGTAGGTGCAGGTGTCCTTTTTAAGAGGATGATCTCTGCATTTTTTGGGAAGTATATAAGAACATAAGAGAAGACAATGTTGGATCAGGCCAGTGGCCCATCCTGTCTAACGCTCTGTTACACAGTGGCCAAAAATACCAAGTCAATTAGAGTTAAAAGTGGGAGGCCAAATAAACATGCTCTTTTAGCTCAAAATTTAGATCATACCATCACAGAAAGTACAGCTGACTGATTTACCGGCTGTGAGGACTTTCACTGCCACAGGAGGTGGCGGCGGCTACAAGCATGGACAGAGGTCCATCAGTGGCTATTAGCCACAAGGTATAGATAGGGACTCCGAGGCAAGTGATGCTCTGTATTTTTGGTGCTTAGGGGGGGCGGGTCAATAGTGTGAGGGCTCCTAGTGTCCTGGCCCCACTGTTGGACCTCCTGATATCACCTGGTATTTTTGGCCACTGTGTGACAGAGTGTTGGACTGGATGGGCCGTTGGCCTGATCCAACATTGGCTTCTCTTATGTTCTTATCCATGTTGACCAGGCAGCAGAGGTTGGAGATTCCTCTGTTTTATGAGGATGGAGTTGAAGAAGCAAGTGGGATTTGGGGGGGGCTTCAGAGAACATTAATTCATTTTAACATTTATGATCTAGGTCCGCCACGTTGGAGTGGTATGTATGAACTCTAGTCTCTGAAGTTCTTCACATTGTGGTTGTGTGTGGCACATGGTGCATAAACACTTGGGCAAAACATATTAAAACAGAAGTGGAACATCAGATATACAAATCAGCATTTGAATTACAGCCACTTATTAGGCTAGCTAGCATGTTTTCTATTTGTTGGAATTCTTGGCAAATGAAACATGCTGCAGTCAGTTTATAGCACTAACTTACTCACTTCCATATAATAATGTATGGTCATTTGAAGTGTGCATGTGTTTAAGATCTTGATTTTTTTACTTTGAAGCAAGTTTTTCCCTTCTAGTTTTTCTCTTTCTGTGTGTGTTCTAATAGCAAGTTTTTATACTTACAAATGGTGATGTTAGGATTTGCTCCATGGTTGGCTAAATGGATTGCATTTATCAATAAATGGCTGGCTTATGGGCTTTAATGTAAGTGAACTGTTTAAGACTGGGCAAATTGTTGGTGACCACAGAGGTGGGGTGGATTGGGTATTGAGGGGGTGGGGAAGGTCTTAACCTTTTTATTGCATTGCAATGTTTATTGTATCTTCCCTGTATTTCCTCCCCACAATTCTAAAACAGCTGTGGCATAAACTTTGCATAACAAAGTTTGCTCAAAAAATGCAAACAATGGATCAAATGTATGAACAGGGAAGTTGAACCAGTGGCCTCGCTTTGCTTAGCCAGTTACCGATCTTCCTAAATGCATGTCTTGACCCATTTGGACAACACGTTTACCTGTGTATCTACATTTTATTTGAGAATTTGTTACTCACATTTCAGTATGAGTTCTCAAACTTAGCTGCAAGAACATAATTAAAAAGTTCAAACAACAAATTACCTAAGGAATGAGACAGATCCATAATCAGCAGGAGTATATATCTAATGACCTGACCTGGATAGCCCAGGCTAGCTTGATCTCATCAGATCTTGCAAGCTGGGCAGGGTTGGCCATGGCTACTATTTGGATGGGAGACCACCGAGGAATACCAGGGTTGTGATGTGGATGCAGGCAATGGCAAACCACTTCTAAACATCTTTTGCCTTGAAAACCCTACAGGGTCACAATAAGTCAGCTGTAACCTGATGGCACTTTCCACCACATATATCTAAATATCAGAACCCAGGGGATACAAATGGTGCTTTGGTGCTCTCTTGAACATAGCAAAGTCTTGAATCTCTCATAGGCCATGGCAACTGCTTTCATAATCATCACAGAGCATGCCTGATTTGAGGTTTCCACCAGGCTGACACAAAATGGAAAAAAGCACATTATCTTCAGCTGCTCAGTAATCAAGAAGTAGCAGATAACAGAGCATCTTGTCTCTCATCAGTGCCATAGATAATGGTAACTAGGAGTGTGCAAGATTTTTTTTTTTCCAGATTTGGGTATGTTGGACCCAAAAAAATATTGGTATTTCCTGGTATTCCCGGCTTTCCCCCCTCCGTTGGAAATAATGGAGGATGGGAACACCTTCTTTTGGAGATCATAGAATTGAATCCCCTTGTCCAATCTTTTTGAAACTTGGGGGGTTCCCGCAGAGCCCCCCAGAGCCCCAGATACCACGGATTGATTCTCCCCCATAGGGTATAATGGAGCCAAATAAATTCTGGTTTCCTGAATATTTACCGAATCCCAATACCATAGAGAATGGATGGTATGTGTTCTCTGCACCCAGCAGAAGAAGTTTATCTAGCTGCCACAGCCTGAGCAAGTTGTTATTTCCAAGATTACTCCAAGAGCAACCACATGCACAGTAGTCCAGATGACAGGTTACCATGGCATGTACTGCAGAGGAGTGTAGTCAGTGAATCTGCTAAAACTGAGAAAAGTATTCTTTCGCCATACCTTTCATCCATCCACCCTGTGTCCAAGAACATGCCCAAACTGTAACCTTGACCTTCTGTGGAAATGTGACCCCCCCCCCCCCATCAAAGACTGGATTTTCCACCTCTTCACCAGACCCAGGCCTTCTTATTAGAAACAGTTCTTTCTTCTCTGGACTGAATTTCAGATTCACCCTGTAGTCTCCATGTTGATCTAAGGAGCTTGATAACTGCTTCAGCTGTATTCTGCTCAGAATGCAAAATAGATTTTTTATTTGAGTCTGCATTTCAGTACTGTTTGGTGACTTCAGTAGATCTTTATCAAGGGGCATGAATAAACTATTGATACTTTGGTCCCTATTTTAAATATTTAGCCCTATTTGATTTGCTTCATGATAACATGAAAAACTTATGAAGTCGTCTGAGAAACTTATGAAGACTTAACCTATTTTGAGTAACATTTGAGCAGCCAGGTCACCCTGGGACACAAAGAGTTCCTTCCAAGAGAATATGAATTTCAAGCTTTAATTAATCCAAAGGCCAAAAACTTTAAGCTGCTTTCTGGATATATATTTTTTCATGAAGGCTATGGGTTGAATCGAATGATCTTTTCCACTAGGTGAGATGTCTTCCATCAATGGAGAGAGTCATTGGATTCAAACCTAGGGGTGTAATGGTGGTATAGTTATGAGAATAAAGGTAGAATGTCACTGTTAATTATCAGTTCTGGCCTGTTCAGGAACTTGATGATTACTCCAGATTAAAGATGTAGCTTGTTGCATCATGGGGAAAGAATGCTTTGTGATATCAGCATGATAGAATATGTACTTAGTTGGGAATTTAATGTGAACTTAAGAAACATTGTTCAAATTTGAGATGATAAAATATTACTGTGGTCTGTCCGGGGATAGATAAACACCCCTGTCATTATACTTAGTTTAAATAGAGCTAAAAATTCCCGTAGGGAAAACACGAAGCCAACACAACTATTATAAATAGTCAGACTGGGTTGATGCTTTAAATTGTGAATACTTGAATTTACAAATGGCTGACTAATCTTTGGTTTGGGGTGGGTTTTTCTTTTTATTTACTCCAGCTCCACCTCCACCTCCGCCATCTAGGGGAGGCCCACCTCCTCCCCCACCCCCACATAGCTCAGGGCCACCACCACCTCCTGCTAGGGGAAGAGGAGCTCCTCCGCCCCCTCCATCAAGAGCTCCAACAGCAGCACCACCACCTCCGCCACCTTCTAGACCTGGTGCTGCAATGCCCCCTCCTCCACCAAATAGGATGTATCCTCCTCCTCCACCAGTTCCTTCTTCCTCTGCACCCCCAGGCCCACCTACCATCAGGTGGTTCATGTGTGCCTCCACCCCCACCACCACCGCCACCCCCTCCTGGGCCGCCTCCACCACCTGGTCTTCCAACAGAGGTTGACCATCAGCTTCCAGTTCCTTCAGGAAACAAAGCTGCTCTCTTAGATCAAATCCGAGAAGGTGCACAGTTAAAGAAAGTGGAACAGAACAGTCGGCCAGTCTCCTGCTCAGGAAGAGATGCACTGCTTGATCAGATACGGCAGGGTATACAGCTGAAGGCTGTAAGTATTGTTGGTTTTCTATCTTCTGCTTGCAAACTTTAAATTCCTTAGCAAAATAGTCTGAAAGAAGATTTACACGCCAAAGGCATGTAACTCCTTGGCATGATCTGAATTAGTGGGAAAGAGAAAAGGGTGAATGATGCTATGCTCAAATGTCTTATCTCTGAATTTGTAACACTAAGATAATCTAAATATATATTTGTCCTACTCCTTAATATGGGAAATAAAGTTTTCCTAGGTTTTGCTGTTTGTTTGTTTTTGTATTTCAGCTGTTTTGCATTTTTGGTTGTATCCAGCATTAGACATGTAGTCTTAGATATACTCACATAGGCATCGTTCAGATGTTACCAGCATAGTTATTTGAAATGTGAAATCCAGAAATACACTGGTGATATCAGCTACGGCTGACATACAACCATGTTGTTGGAACAATTGTGTTTCAGTCTTTTGAGTTTATAACCTTTGTGGAACCTGTGTTCCTGGTTCCTGTTTATTTGTTCTTTGATCATTTGCCTTCAGCAACTGGTGCATCAGCTTTTAGACTCTTCTCTGAACTAGCTGCTTTTATCACCTCTTTAAGGTATCCTCCTCTCTCTCCACCATATCAGTTTGAAATAAGAAAGTGAAATTGGCATGATCTGCCTACACAATGGCATTAGCATTGACACTATGTTTACTATTCTAAACTGCCATTGATTTTAAACATTGGGTTCCCTCTTCCACAAGGAAGTCTTTTAGTGAGGGCCAAGCATATTTATTACTTAGTACACGTTTATCTTGTCCTTCCTCCAAGAAGCCTAGTGGAGGGAGTATACATTGGTTTTCCCTCTTCCATTTTTCCCTCCTCCATTTTCTCTTTTCAACGATCCTGCGAGTTAGGTTAGTTAGGAAAGAAGATTTATGGTCCCATATTACCCAGTTGGAGTCTTAGCTTTGAACCTAGGTCTTCCACACCTAATATAGCCCTTCAGCTGCTAAACTTTGCCATACACAGCCTACACCTTTGCCATACACAGCCTACAACGTACCATACACAGCCTACACCTGTTTTCATTTACATGAAATTTTGCTTTTGCAGTCTCTCAGAAGGCGAGGGTTAAATGTGCTGCTTTTTATAGTTTTGTATTCCATTCTTCCAAGGTATCTGATGGCCAAGAGACTGCACCTCCTACGCCTGCACCCACCTCAGGTATTGTGGGAGCACTAATGGAAGTTATGCAGAAAAGGAGCAAAGCCATTCATTCTTCAGGTACATTGTTAAAATACTCTTTGTTCAGTTAGTCACTATAAAGTGCGAGCTCACTCACAGAACTCATGGTTCTATGTACAGGTGGGATCTCTAAGATAAAAAGGCAATACAGTGCATTTATTTTTCTGCATTGTGCAACTGATTAACATTCTTTCTCTGGGAATATATCCTGTTCTTTAGTAAAAAATACAGATTCAAGGTCAGATGCACTGCAAAATCATGTTTGTGAAACCAAGAATGGACCCATAGGTGATCATTGAAACCTGGCTTGTCTCAGCAGTTCCTGGTTCCAGTGCCCTCAGTCTTTCCCCATCAGCTCCGCACCAGGGATCAGGCGTGAACCTTTGCCTGCTTGTTTGCTCCCAGGTTTGCCCAGGCTAGCCCAATCTCGTCAGATCTTGGAAGCTAAGCAGGATCAACCTTGGCTAGTATTTGGAAGGACGATCTCCAAGGAATACCGGGGTCATGATGCAGAGGCAAGCAATGGCAAACCACCTCTGAAACATCTCTTGCCTTAAAAACAAGTGTAGCTCGCCACCTAGTGGTGCATAACACTAAAAGAGCTAGAAATTCTGGCTGCCAGACAACCTTAGGATCTCCTGGCTATTCTACACACAATGCCATACAATAATTATTAATTATTATTATTGTACTCAAGTTGAGGCAAAGCATCAGTACATCACCAAGTTCATTACTGTTGGCCACCAGCAGCATGAGAAGAGAGAAGCTGCACTTGGAAATTTCTGCCACTGACCTCAGTGCACACCAAACACGCATAGTCAACTAACGAAACCTCTTAAGTGTCCCATCTCCCCCCATGCCATACAAGATGCTAACAGCAGATACTGCTGTGTGTCTTACTTATTTGGGCTACAAAATTGTTCTCTCCCCACAAACACTACCTGCTAACAGAGGATGTTCCTACATAGACCCTCTGCAAGAGACCATGTGCCCCGCCAGCTTCCACTCCCTCCATAAGGCACACAGGTGAATTGTTTTGAAATGAATTTTATTAATTAGAGAGAGAAAGCTGTGCCTGCCTAACACAAGTGTTTGACCCTCTGAGTTACTTGGATATAATTCCTTATGCATTCTCTGCTCTTTGAATCCTGCTTGGGAGGGCTGTGAGGCTACAGTCCAGGGCAGATAATGAGCTTGTTACTATGACAAATCTGTGCCTTGGGACAAGACATGGTGGTTCTTGGCACTATGACTTTGTTTTGGCAGGGTTTGGGTTGGGAAAGGTGGAGTGAGCACTTAATGCCTACTTCAACCATAGCTTTCTCACCCTTTGGCTATGTGGCAGTGCACATGGCTACTTTCAATCCATTCCACCACCACCACCCTAAACTCCACATATGTATTGTAACAAGCTTGTAACGATCCTCTGAGGCTGCAAGCTAACATGAGCCTCACAAAGTCCCCTTCTTAAATACTCATCTGGTGTTAGGGCCTGCCCAGTGTGACCACAAAAAACAGAGATTAGTTTAACAATATACTTGATTATTCAGCAAGAAAGGGGTTATGTAGGCATAACTGTGCTGAAAGCCTGAGTGGTATTTTTGTGGTTAGAAGCAGACATTGTCCTTGGCCAGCCTCTGGTATGCACTTGCTTAAGAGTAGTGAATTAAGGGTAGCCCCTCTTCTAAGCGGTACATGGCATTGCTGAGGAAAAAATTAACACTTCCTGACTAATCTGTCAGAGTTTTTCTTTCAGGGTAGTCCCAAGAAAAATGCCCTTGAACCTAAGGAATATTGAGTTGGGCAATAACGCCCTAGTTTAATGTTTTCTGTTGAGTGAATGATACATGTGGCATTGGAATGTAGTTAACAACTGATTTATTGTACTATGTTGTAGAAAATAAAAATGGGGGGGGGGTTTGCACATAGTCTCTGAACAAAGTTCACACAACCATGTTCCCTGTTAAAACAGGCAAGCATTCTTAGTAGTATTAGTATTGGCTCCTATTGCATAAACATTTAATAGTTTAACAATCAGTGCAACAGACCCGCCCCCCGCCGCCCCCCAAAATGTGCATTTCAACAACATTAATGTTTTAATTATTTTGGGCCCACTTTTGAACTGCTGGCAGCAAGTGCTCGCTACCATGGGTCTGGGTCAAGTAAAGGGAAGCTGGGGGGGGGGGGTTAACTCTAAGTTTGTACCTTAGGTCTAGTGCAATGTTAGGTTTATGCACTGCTTTTCCAGGTGCTGTGGTTTCACCTGAGATCTGAGCAAATGTATCGAAACGGGCTAGTATTAGCAACTAAATACAAACATTCTGTTAACACAAGTTTGCTAATCCATAGTACCGTAAAATTCTGCTGGCCCCAACCAGTACAGTGGATGTCATTATAAGACATTTGTTTCAATCAGCATAATTTATTTAGGAAGATTCTGTGCTGCGCTGCTTCTGAACTGAATAGCTGGCTTACCTGCAAGAAGTGTATGGGGAAGGGTAGGAATTTTGCAAATAGTTTTTTGAAGACTTGTCAAAGGTTTTTGAGCCTCCATCCAGAAGAATCTGAATTTGTGACTCAGGTTTGGTTGAGAGATAGGAAAGCAAGGGAATCTACTTTTGCTATGAAGAATCGTGAACAGCAGCATACTTGCACTGTGTCCTTTTTAATGTTTGAGAAAGGGTGCAAACGAGAATAGTAGAAGGCTGTAAAATCATTTAAGATGACTAAATTAAAAGCAGGCGGAAGATATCTCAAAGCATTTTGAAAAGAGAGGAGCAGGCAGCAGTATGGAATGGAGTGTAAGTGCTACATAGTTAACACTGAAAAGAACTGGTATTGTGTTACAAAACTATTACTGCCCAGAACAGTAAGTTCTGTGGATAGGTCTATGAAAACATCAGTATACTGCACATCGTTTGCCAAAGAGAGGGTGGAGTCTAGGGATGACCAGAGTAGGATAACTACTTAATGCTTTGCTTAATGCAGTGGTTTTCAGACTAGGATCCTCTGATGCTGAATGGGGGTTTCTCAGGGACAATATCAGATGGTTTGCTCACCATTGCTGATCCCCCCTTGCCTCTTACAGTGCACGATCTGGGTAACCATAGATTGACTGAATCCAGGCTTAGCTGGTGAATAAAGTGAAATATCTGTCAGTGCTTCCTCGCAAGCTCAGATCCTGACTTATTCCTTCTGTTTTCCACGTGCTTTCCATCTTTACCATACAAATGCCAGTTTCTAAATTGCCATCGTACTAAAGAAAAGACTGAGTTTTGCTGAGTGTTTCATACAAATTAACAAATATTTCTTGCCCACTAGATGAAGATGAGGATGAAGAAGATGAAGAAGACTTTGAGGATGACGATGAATGGGATGACTGATCCAATATATTATATATCATATAAATATATATATTTTTAAGGTGAATTACTAAACTACTTTCTGTCTATGGATTCTGTAAAATTATCATGTAAATGTTCTACCAATTTGCTGTATATTTTTGTTGCCTTTTGCTTTTTTTATTAATCTGTGCAATACCTCATTTAATCTGTAAAGGTTTGTCATAATCCTCTACAAAAGCTACTCCCGACTTAATGTGTGGCAGTTTACATCAGGTTGCTCAGTGTACATGTGAATACTTTTCATTCCATCAATAAGGGAGTTTTAACGTAATGTATGAGACTGACAAACATTTTAAATGTATTTAGTTATAATGCAAGAAGGAAAAAAACACTATTTTCATACCCTACTTTTCTGTACCTAAATTTTCTTATTAAAACCTAGTATAGCACTACATTATTTAAGCAATGCAGCTCCTGGTTGATTAGCCCGTTCCTCTTGGAAACTATGCTACATGAATGAGGCTGACTAAAACAATGGACTTCATAACACTACACTTTAGGATTAAGCTATTACATCAAACAATCACTAGAAAATAAAATGGTTGTGAGAATTTTCCCCCTGATTCTGTAGCAGTGCCATTGGAAATCTTTTGAAACCTCGAATGCGAAGTCCCAGTTGAGGTCACGGAGCACATCTTTGATGTATGCTACCATTGTGAATGAAATTTTTTTTTGGCCTGCTACCTTTTACAATGAAGAGGAGTCTACCTTTTATGGCATCTGCTGCAGTCACTTATTTATTTTTATATAATCTTTTTTACCGAAGGGCTGTGGTTTAATATTTGCTTGGGGATAACATTGGGGTTTGAATCCGTTTTTAAAAACATGTAGGACATTGGTTTACTAATAAATGGACTTAAAGCACTGTAACTCTGCAGTCTTGATGGCTTATGGTACAAACCAACGACACACTTAAAGGCACCAGTTCCTGCATCTAAAAATGGAAAGCAATGAAATGAGGATGGATGCCTTAATAAAATATCTGCTCTTGACTGTGACAAGAGATCCTAATGTGATGGGAGCAATGGTGGAAGGAGATGCTTGAGCTCCTCACTGATGTTTTTCACATCAAGCCCCTTAACTTCCTTCAATCTCTAGTCTCTGCGCGTTTGGGCCAGACAGCTCAGTTTGGATGGGCTCTTAGTTCATCAGCCCGCTAGTGCAGATGATGCTGCAGTCCAGTTCCATATTCCTCACAAGCTTTCCTATGAATTATGGGTTATTGTAGGTTAGTGTTGTCCTGTTTCCTCTCTTCTCTTTTAGACCTCCAGAAGAGAGTGGATAGAGAGCCAGCTGAGCCTCTTGGCTTTTCAGGAAGCTTGGAGATCTCTTAACAAAAAAACTTGTGGAAGTTTACTGTTACGGAGTTACTGCTTTCTTTTCTATGTACCGAACTTGCTTATTGCGGTATTGATTGTCTTTTGTGTTCTTTAGAATTTAATATCAAGGGTTTGTGATCTTCAAAGATGGAGGCCTTGTGCTTGGAACTACCATTCCAGTTCATCCTGGAGAAATTAAGTTCTCATCTTAATTTTCATCCTTACTAACAGATTTAATATTTTTAAGGTATCTATCTTTACACACAGTAATGTGTTTTAAGGATAGGCATTGGCAATGCTAATTCTACTTGCGGGGGGAGATTAGAAATATCACTTTTCTCACTGATGCAAAATGCTTCAAGTCAGACTTATTTGGAATACAATTGATATATGCTTTCTTCCTAGCCCCCCCCCCCCTTTTGTCATGATATATTGGACAGAATTGTATTTACTGAAACCCAGTGTTGGCCTGATATCAGCGGGCTGGACCTGCATGACATGGCTTGGATTTCTAGTGCAGTTTATAATATGTGTCTAGCAGTGGCTTTTTAAAAACTTCATACAGAGAAAGGGGATGGGAAATGTTGCAGATGGGAAGAAGGTGCAGTAAAGCTGGCTGAAACTAAATTATTCAGAGAATAACTTTTTAAGCACATGACTTGGGAGAAGAGACTTCTTTTCCCCAGGTACCTTTCTTCTCTCCCCCCCCCCCCCCCCCCGCAGTTGCATTCACAGCACTGCCTGCTGCTGGGAAAGACTTTTTAACTAGCAGTGCTGCTAGTGCAGCTTGAGGACTGTGAGCGGTGTGGCTGAAGCCTGGGTAAATGCTGTCTTGTAGGGTTAAGAATGTGTACCCGTGGGAAGGGGGTGTTAAATGGCCTTCAATGAAAGCTTCTCTTTTTTTGTATCCTGTCTTTGTAGTTCTGATACCATGAGGGGCATTTTAAAGTGGGCACTGCTCAGGTGACCTCCAAAGATGTTACTTATTAGCATGAATTAAGCACATGCTTCCAGACTAGAGAACAAGCGAGCTTGGGATTGGTTTGATGTTGTACGTCTGGATAGTTGGGATGCTTGTGTAATCCATTAATCTCTTGCCAAACAGGCTTCTGACTCTTTTTTCTTTTTCTTTATACAAGGTGTATCCCATGCTATTGCACAAAAGTTCAAATGTTTTTGCTTTCAAGAGCATATCGTATGGTTTTTAAGTCGAGGCATGACTACAGTTACAGTTAGGCTAAATTATTGTCACTGCTGCATGTTTCTGCATTCCCTGCTTTCTGATGTAGGCAGGGGGATTTCATGGCATTAAATCACTACTGCTAACTGTTGTAACAAAGCCGGTTGAATTGACAGTCCAAGTAGCCTTGGCAAATCCACAAATGAATTCAAGGCTTGTATCTTGGCACTATGCATAGACAATATTTGCTAGCTGCTTATACTCTGAAAATGTCTCAATCGTTTAGTTTTTTCCATTTCATCAAATTGAAATTATTGGTATGTGATTTTTTTTTCTTTTTTTGAAATGTACAGTGAATAGGATGTTGCACTGGTGGCAATTCATCATGGAGCATAATAAAATTAATTTGACTCAGTATTAACATGTGGAATGGGTTTTGCTTTGTTTGCTGATCATGCTGATTATCACAAATAATTTCAAAAGCTAAGGCCCAGTACCACAGTAGCACCACCGCTTCCTTTGGCAATAACTTCAGTGCTTCACTAGCTCGAATTGGACTGTGCCCTGAAATAAGTGGAGGGTTAGAATGCCCTGGCCCACTTCCAGCAGCTCTCCTGAAAACAGTTGTCACTACAAGCAAGCAGAGTGCATAATACATTAACATTTCAAGGTTGAACCATCTCAGAAGGACTAGTCAGCATTCTAAATGCAGTCCAAAGGCCTGGGTGTTTTTGCAGTCATTTGTGCCCCCACGGTATAAAAGCATGTTACAATTTGGACACCAATGTCTGCAATGAACTCCACAAAACTGACTTAATTCAAACCTGAACACAGTGCACAGGCATTTCATCTTGAAGTATCTTGAAGTATAAATTAACATTGCTGGTCTTCAGGACACCTAGGGGGGGAAATTCACAGAGGGCAAGGGGGTACGCGATTTCATCAGTGACACATATTTCTCAAGGGAATACTTTCATTGATATCAAACCCAATAGTAGCTAGACTGATATATATGAATGAATATAAAACTGCATTTTAAGTTACTTCTCTCATATGAAAGGGAAGGGGTTACTTCTCGAGAGAGTGAAGTGTTTCTACTGCTGACTCAACTATTTACCTCATTGTAGGAATTCCTAGTGGTTCTTGCAAGTCCACACATGTATATTCTGTGTCACATTAAACTCAAAATACATATTTGGAAGATCTCTCTGATTGCTAGTTCTCAATTGGCAGTGGTGACTTTTAAGGAAAAGGTCAGTAAGTTAAACGTTCATGCTGCCTTGTGGACCCTGATTGGGTGGAAAGGTAGTATAAAAATGTTTCAATAATGAATTGCTGTTAACACTGATAATAGTTCTGCTACGTGTATACTGAACAGGTCAGAACTAAAGCAATGCATTGTTGAGCTAGATTTCAGTTAGACTATCAGTTCACTGGTAATTCATGTTTGTTACTTCAGTTGTGAAACAGGAAGATGAATTTGCCCTCATTTGGAAGGCGTGCTAGGAAAGCTGTCACTTGTCTTTCACAGAGTAACCCACTTCCTTGTTTCTGCTGTTTATGGTTTTTCCTCCAGTTTGTTTAGGCACACCTGTGAGATGCAGAAGAAATTTCCTACCTTCTGCCAAGTCTAGCCTAGAACAGTGCAGTCATTACCCAGGCTCATGAACGCTTATTGCAGTACACTACAGTACTTGTCATATATGTGGTCCCATTAATGCAGAAGTTAATACCTGAAGAACGGAACAGCAGCCAAGCAACTAAAGCTAAGTTTACTTTTAAGTTCACAGAGTGATGAACTGGAAGTGGAGGCCATAGGAGGGTAAGATTTAAAGGAACACTACCTAACAGTTTTCATGCACCTGGTTTGGGAATTACTAACCTTATACGTACAGTAGGGGCTGCTTGATATCTATGTTTGAAAATCTGCTTGTTGGAGAGGGTGGGAGGATAACAGAGCCGAGGGTCAACAGATCTGCTGCTTAAGGCCATCTTTTTTGCCATGTCCTTTAATCCTTTAGTGTCACAGGAGTATGCTGACTTGGAAAAATAAAAAATCTTAAAACAGTTTTGTTGCTGCTTTGTCACTTGTCTGAAGCTGAGAATATGCTTTTCAGAATATGATTCTTAGTTAAAGTGATAGCATGAGCCAAAGCATGAAACATACACTGTCTACTTTTATTAATACTTAGGCATGTTGATTCATCCCATACTATCTCCAGTCTGGGAAGGTAGAGTTATCAATATTTTATTAGATGATTTGGATGCTCTTTGGTACATTCAAACTTAACCACAGGGTGAGAATATCTCATTCTTTCAGGAGTGTGAAATAGGCTTTTGTTTTGGAGTCTTCCAATGAATCCAACGTGGTAAACAACATGAATCATTTAAAAGTTTTAAGTAAAGTTCTTGGTTTAAATCTATGCCATATGTGTGGAGGAAAGGCTGGTATTGTAAAAAAGATATAACACTGGCTTCTG